AGACCAATACTTGTGTCATTCTCAAAACTTTTGACCACGACTGTAGACTGATCATGTCTTTGTCAGTGGGCAAACGTACAAAATCAGCAGGGGATCAAATACTTAATTAGGCCAGAATGTATATGTCCATTGCTATCCGCGCGTTTGGGTGTCGGCCAGTCATCTCTGCCTTGGCCAAATTTCTGTGTTTTCGTCTTAACCATTTTGGAGCGTAGGCTATACCAACCGTTTTCAAGTCGATTCACTCATTTTTCATGCCTCTGACATGCGGTAATGATAGAAAGTGGTGTTATAGCCTACAGTTTTCTTGACATTTTGTTTTTAATTATTGTGAAAGGCTCATGTTTTACCGGTACGTGGTACCCCCACTATTTATTTTGCCGGCACGCCGTACCGGACCATACCACCTTACTTTCACCCCTGGGCCTATTGCCACTACCCAAATTACAGGCTTCCCAAATAGGCATAGGCCTACAGGCTTGTGATTTGAAACAATCCACAGCTATTTTCTAAAATGATAATGCTAATGATCCTCGATTCCTCTGTGGCTAAGTCATGCTTTCTGATGAAGTATTTTGAATGATTTAATTTATTTCTGTATAGACAGGAGTAATTATATAATTTTGGCAAATTTATTTCAATTTACTTCCCTATAGGACCCACCGCTATGCCATTTCTCTCCTGTTCTATTGGTTTTCATCAACTTTATTTTATTTTGTTGTCCAGAAGCCATTGGCACAATCTTAGTCATTTGCAACCCATCCTAGTTGTTGGATCTTTAGAATCCCCCTCTTTCTAAGTTTCTAACATACATTTTCATCTCTGGTACATATGGAACTGTTCTAATCAGGAGTGCTGTTTTGATTTGTGTTTTCCCGCGAATTGCATTTTGGCAAATATTTGAAAATTACATTTTTATTGGCTGCATCATTATATGAGTTGCTTGTTCTCTTAAGATGAATTACCATAATCTAAATGTGATTTCTGTCATTCTGAGCACCGTGGGTGGACACCCTAATGCATATTGGTCCGGTAAATGTCTCTAATGGCCGTTAAATTAAAATCTTCCTTGTCACGTTGTCCGGCGCCACATTTTCCTAACAGAATCCCTGGATGGTGTGTATTTTAGACACTCTGAAGTTGTTTACTGACATTAGGCTATTAACTAGCTATGCAAATTTTAGGTTGTTTGGGATGTGCCAGAGAGAATATGAAGCTCAGCCCTGATTCTCCCCTGCGCTGACGGACTGTCTACTGCTCTACCCCATAAAAGACCCAATATGGACTGCTGTGGCCCTTCTCCTGCTCAGAATGGTTGTTACTGTTAGTAATTCCTGTGCTCTTGGCCAGCTGAAGAGGCCAGAGTTAGGCAACCCAGCCCAACCCACGGGTAGAATGGCTGGAAGTCACACCGGGATCAGGGGAAACATCAACAGTGACCAGAGCACCCTGATGAATCTTCGTAAATATAAAGCTATCTCACGTGATACTAGATAAATTGATTTCAAACATTGATCTTAATGATCTACCGATGTCATGTTTCATTGAGCAGGTTGTTTGTTGCAATGGAACCATGGCGTGCATAGTACGTAGAATGGAAGGCCAAATATCCTCAGAATGTTTTTTTTGCATCTGACACATGATATAAGCAAAATAATTACAAAAAGGTTGAAAAATAAGACCTTTCGTGTGACTCACATAAAGTCGAGGCAACCTTCAGGGAAGTATTAAGGGAAGATTTCACTGAAGATGTTTAATGCGAGTGGGCAGTGGCTTTTTAGAGCTGAACTATTTTAGCCTAAGAGGAGACGGACTGAGAAGGAGATCCTCTAAGGTCTAGGCTCTACACAGCATTCCTGTGATATGCCCATATTTGGTGAAGTACAGCAGGCTCCCAGTAACTAACGGGCTAGAGAAACAGAGAGAGCGTTAGACCCCAAAACCACATGAAAATGCCAGATATGCCCCAGACCCAAACATTCCACATACACACAGCCTACCACTGCAAGCACCTAGATCTAATGTAGGCTAATGTAATTTTACTACATCAGACGGGATTGGACGTGTTGTACATTTGATCATCTGAGAAGGAGATTGGGAGTTTACTATCTACTTCACTTGCTTTGGCAATGTTAACAAACGTTTCCCATGCCAATAAAGCCCTTAAATTGAATTGAATTGAATTGAGAGAGAAGGTGAGAGAGTGTGAGAGGCATATGGTGAGAGACTGAGAAGGAGGCAAGAGAGACAGAACCTGAGAAAGACAGACGTGAGGGTTTGAGTGTTTCTCAAACCCTGAGTCGTGCACCGACACCGGTCCCTGACATGTTGCCGCTGACCAGTCCCTTGGGTAATTGACAGACACCAGTTGGGCAGTTCTCAAATGCTAGTTTTAATCTAAGCGGACCTCCCAAGAAGGGTGAATACAGCTCCTTAGTCTCTGATGAGAACCTGGGCCGGAGGGTCAATGACTGGGAGGATAGTAACAGGAAACAGGGGTCATTCAGTTCTCTCCACACTTTGACTGATATAATGCTACAACAGAGAACGGACTAGATACTAACTATCCTGAAGCTTCCCTATGGCCTGGAACCTGGGTCTATGCCAGGTGTTGAATTCACAATGTCATTTTATTCCCCTGGCTGAGGTATTTAACCATAGTATTCATCCCATGGGAGTAGAAGCTATAGTAACAGTGTCTGCCTGCGTGTGGAAAGAGGACTAGGAGTAGTGTGTGTTCTGTTTTGATGCAGCAGGGCAGGCAGCTGCATGTCGAAGCACATATGCCATATAAAACAGCAGCTTGCTGCTTCCCTTTCACCCCTGAGCAGAGCAGGCTGTGGTTTCTGACGCTACTTGCCACCGGCCCGGGCAATAAAACTCCCCAGAAAAATGTATAATTAATGGATTATAATGGAGTGGGTCTACTCCACTTAATTCTAAAGCTGTCTCTGCGAGTCTCACTCTGACACCGTTTTAGAATGATATGATGAAGCCCATTCATCAAATCATATTGACTGGCAGTTGGAGAAAGAAGTTGTACTTTATCGCCATTGTGAACTAGTGGGTATGCCCCATTTTCCCCTAAAATCTCAATACTTTACTTGACAGTTTGTTCATTGCTCGATTAAAAACATTATATTTTGGTATGTTTTATAGCTTTATTAGCAGTGTTTTATTGCCTCTTTGTGTGTCCCATTCTTAGAAACTGTGAACTGAGTCAGAGAGACAGTCTGTGAGAAAGTCGTTAGCTTTAATAATATCCCCCTGTGCAGCTAAATATAGCCGGCCCTATAGAAGGAGGACACAATAGGAGGATATGGGATTGGATCTGGAGTGGAGAAATCAAACCCACTACAACACATGGAGTATGTCTCAAATGCCACCCTATTCCCTGTATAGTGCACTGCTTTTCATCCATTGTGCTCTGGTCAAAAGTAATGCACTATATAGGGAATAGGGTGCCATTTGGGACTCAGCCAGAGAGGATTAATTGCAGTGTTGGCAGATGGAGGAGTCTTTGTGTTTGTATTTGTATTTTGTATTTATTACGGATCCTCATTAGCGGCTGCCAAGGCAGCAGCTACTCTTCCTGGGGTCCAAACACAATTTACATACGATTTACATACAATAAAACAATACATAATACAACACCTTATGTGTTGATCAAGATGTATACATACTCACAGAACACAGCCACTGGACTGGACTGGCCCTCTCCCTCTCTCTCTCGATATGGGTTGGACTTGCCCTGGCCTTAGGCACAGATCTAGGATCAGCTTATCTTCTCCCAATCCTAACCACAACCATTTGAGGGGAACAAGGGAAAAGTGTGACCAAGTCCATGTAATACCTTCATGCCTTCCCCCTCACAAAGATCGAAAGGTGCATTTTTTATGAGACAGAGATTCACCCCCCCCACCCCCCTCTCTCTGCAGGGCAAAATTCCCCCTCGTCCCGCTCGCCTTACAGTGAAGAGACTAGCTTGCTGCAGTCTGTACTCTCTAAGTTTCTCTAAGTGTGACCCAGTGTAATTGCCATATTTGGAAGCCCTCATGGTTTACTGGCAGCTTGCATTAAAGCAGGATCCATGTGAATGGCCTTAAAAGGAGCTAAGGAGAGAAACAGCACCTGTTTTACATCTGCAGCCAGGCAGGCAGAGTACAGTTCAGTCAGGGCCTGATAACAACAGTACAGGAATCGCACTGAACTAGAGAGACCATGCTAGGGTTCAGGGGGAATTCTAGGGTTTTGTGGGAAGTCTAGGAGGCAGCAGGGCAATATGGAGTTTGGGAGAAACCGTGATGAATTGTGCCTCTCCAAAGGCAAACATGCACGTATATGCAGAACCACACATGTGCGTTAGCAGTAGCACATGCACACACACACACAAACCTATTTAGTCCAGCCTCGCAGGGCTGTCACGTCCTCCATTCACTCCACTGTGTGCTCTCTGGAACTGAAAGGATTTCCCCCGTTGTCCTGGCAACCCATCGATAAAGGATGCGTGACCTTATAGTAGGGGCTGATAAGCCCGTCGTACACGTCCTCTCTGTGTGAAAGGGAAAGAGTGAAGGAAGGAGGGAGGGATGAAGGAGGAAAAACAGACGTGATATCTATCCACCTGTTACAGTGCCTTCGGAAAGTATTCAGACCCTTTGACTTTTTCCACATTTTGTTATGTCAAGGGATTGGAATACTTTCCTAAATCCACCTGTTATATAGCAGCTCCGGGTAGAAGTTGCCCTTCGGCACAGACAGATCTAGGACCCCATGCCCCTTCAGCACCTATTAGAACTTATAGTTTCAACTGTGGCTGTTGAAAGAGACTAATCAGACATAGACTGTACTTCCCAGTTTGCTACAAGACAATCACCTCTTATCATTCTACTGATTGTAGTCCTGTTCTACTGGTATTTACCCTGGTATACGGTCTGTATCATGTCAGGTTTGGCCATTACCTGTGACTGAATGTTGTTTCTCTGTTATTCCCCCTCCAGCCGAGCACGCTGCCCCAGGGCACGGTAAATTTGAACCTGTGTACTGACGTAATCGACGCAGAGCCCAAGACGGGCCAGAAGAACGCTCTCTGTATCATCACTCCTGAACAGGAGTACTTCATACGAGGGGAGAACAAAGAGATCATCAATGGGTAAGTGGGTTTGTGTGTGTAGTGTATGTCCTTATGTGTGTGTGTGTATTCTGTATGCCTTCACTAACATTCTGTTCCTCTCTCTCTGTCGCAGGTGGACTGAACAGCTGGTGGTGTATCCCAGGACCAACAAGCAGAACCAGAAGAAGAAACGCAAGGTGGAGCCCACCACTTCTCTGGAGCCAGGACCAGCAAAGGTGGCGGTGACGGGCTCAGGTATCCCCGAGGCGGGCTCAGAGAAGGTTCCAGACTCCAGCTCCATCATCTGGCAGGAGGAGCTGAGCCAGAGAGAGGCTGAGGGGGCGGCCGTGTGGCCTGCTGCTGACCTGCCCTTGCTGGGCTCACCACTGCCCTCTACAGGTATGGAGGAACCACAGCACACCTAGCCCCATAGTCCCCATCTTTAGTGTAGTATATGGGTCTTTCTATAAACTAGGGTACAAGTGAGAATTTCCTACTCTGGACAACTTGTTACAGCTGTTGATAAATCATTGATAATAATCTGTCAAATGTTTTCATGTCATTACATTAAGATATAATGGGGGAACATAGCTACAGTGCCCTCCGTAATTATTGGGACAGTGAAGCATTTTTTATTATTTTGGCTCTATACTCCAGAAGTTTGTATTTGAAATTAAACGATGACTATGAGGTTAAAGTGCAGACTGTCAGCTTTAATTTCAGGGTATTGTCATCCATATCGGGTGAACCGTTTAGAAATTACAGCACTTTTTGTACATAGTCCCCCCATTTTAGGGGACCAAAAGTATTGGGACAAATTCACTTAAATGCGTATAAAAGTAGTTATTTTATTTTGTAGTTATTTTTTTTTTTTTTTTTTTTTAGCAGACGCTCTTGAGCAATTAGGGTTAAGTGCCTTGCTCAAGGGCACATCGACAGATTTTTCACCTAGTCGGCTCGGGGATTAGAACCAGCGACCTTTCGGTTACTGGCACAACGCTCTTAACCACTAAGCTACCTGCCGCCAGGTAGTTAACTTTTATATGATATAACGACAACTTACACTGCCATAAATGCAAGGACAGAAAAGTAATGTTTTGTCACACAATTTTGGACAAATCCGTCAAGACACCAACCATGGGAATGGGTTAAGCATAGGTTTTAAATCAACTAGTCAATTTTTTTATTGAGTGCCCTCCTTAATTATTGGGGAACATTTGTTGGATGCATTTGCTGTTTGTTTTGGTTGTGTTTCAGATTATTTTGTGCCCAATAGAAATGAATGGTAAATAATGTATTGTTTCATTTTGGAGTCACTTTTATGAAGCTTATGGTAGTCCCCAGTCACGTGTCACGTGGTGTTTGTTTACAAGCACACAAGGACGAGAGACCTGAGCCTTGGTTAGCTTCTTCCAAAATCAAGCATTCGCTTGGTAACAGCAGAGAATCCCCTCCTAGATCAAGAGCCTTGCTGGCTAATATTTGTTTTGTGCGTGCAGCAAACTCTGAGTAGCATTTTTGAGTTACTTGTATACTTGTATAGTTTAGGTCAGAAACTGTACAAAATGTTCGCAATGCACTCGTTAGCATATAGTTAGCATTCTCTATGGGATTTTACACGTACTTGTTAGCATTGCTATGTTTCGGATTTCAGAGTATCAGTGGGGTTTGAAAACAGCGCCCCTTGTGTTCAGTGCCGGTATGACGGTATGACAATCTGGATACCGCCCAAGCCTAGTTGCACTACACTGTTGCGGTAAAACCATGTGCGGTTATTATGAGCACGATAACATCTAATGCTGGCTTCAGCTTGGCTTTCCATACAAATCCTTCCATTACAAAAAGGAACCTGGTTTTTGGACACTTTCTTATTATAAAAACAGTGATGGTGAGATTAATGGTACCGCTGTTCCTGGCTTTATTATGTGTGCCTGCGTCGGGCACATAGGCTACAGAAAAATCGCCATGCAAATTTATTTCACATTATTCTCACATATTCTAGAATATAATAATAATTGGAATATCAACGCATTGTCAAGGCCTAAAATTGTTATTATTCTTAAAGTGGTAATATCCTACTTTTAAAAAATACTTTTAAAATGCTTTTTAGTGGGGGGTCTATATTAGGCCCTATATGTACAATTATATAAATTAAACAATTGAACCTTGCTTAAAGGATGTATAGTTGTATAGGTGGATTTATGGGCCTATTTGCATATATCCGCTAAGTACACATGTGGAACTGCATAAAAATCATTTTATTTTTGTTTCAAACCATTTAGAAGTTATCCCAATGTCACACATTGGCCCCATTATTTATAGAAAGACCCATACAGTGGCTTGCGAAAGTATTCACCCCCCTTGGCATTTTTTCTATTTTGTTGCCTTACAACCTGGAATAAAAATGGATTTTTTGGGGGTTTGTATCATTTGATTTACACAACATGTCTACCACTTTGAAGATGCAAAATATGTTTTATTGTGAAACAAACAAGAAATAAGACAATACTTTGTAGAGCTACCTTCTCTTGGGGTATGTCTCTATAAGCTTGGCACATCTAGCCACTGGGATTTTTGCCCATTCTTCAAGGCAAAACTGCTCCAGCTCCTTCAAGTTGGATTGGTTCCGCTGGTGTACAGCAATCTTCAAGTCATACCACAGATTCTCAATTGGATTGAGGTCTGGGCTTTGACTAGGCCATTCCAATACATTTAAATGGTTCCCCTTGAACTACTCGAGTGTTGCTTTAGCAGTTTTTTGAAACAAGTTTATTTTTTTCATTCCACTTCACCAATTTGGACTATTTTGTGTATGTCCATTACATGAAATGCAAATAAAAATCAATTTAAATTACAGGTTGTAATGCAACAAAAGAGGAAAAACGCCAAGGGGGATGAATACTTTTGCAAGGCACTGTATATGGCAATCTGAAAGGATTGTAATGGTGTTAGCAAGCCACACAGCTGTAAAATATTATAACATTAGAATTTAGAGATAGTAAGAGTGTCTTTAGTTTTCGACTGTTTGTTTTCATCTGTCCTTCACCATCTTTGACCCTCCACCCCCTCCCTCTTCCAGGTGACTGTGGTTCTGTGGGCCGGGGCTCAGACGCCGGCTCAGTCAACGGTGACGACGTGGACCGTAGCGGCCTCCCCCTCCACGGCTCGGTCCCACTCCCCTATCACGACCTTCTGTCTCCCACGGGCTCCTGCTCCAGCCTGGGCGGGGTGCCCCGCTGCCTCTCCCCGGTCCCCAGCGACCCCTTCCCCTCCGGCAGCTCCCTGCTGTCCAACGGCTCCCACATCAGTGGCTCTGTTAGCTCGCTGGACTCTGACGCCAGCGGCAGCACGGTGACCAGCACAGAGAGCCACCCGGCGGGGCGGTTAGGGCTGGGCCACAGCGGGCACAATGATACGCCACGGTCCAGGAGGCTGGAGGCCGAGGCCAGGAAGGCAGAGAAGAGGAGTCGAGTGAGGAGTCCTGGTGAGGAGAGAGAGGCCGTGTTCAGTCCCGAAAGGAGGCAAGTCTGTCTTTGTCTGTCCATCTGTCTGCATGTCTGTTCTGTCTTAGTTCAGAAAGACAGAAGAGAGAGGCCAATGTTCAGTCCTAAGAGGTCAGTCTGACGAGCATAAAAGAAGGTTCCAGACTGCAATCACCGTCTGTTACCTGGGATATATTTATCTAGGTAAAGCCTTAGCTGTTAATCAGGTACTTGTATAGGCTGGTAAACCAGGTTAGTGGACTCTGCTGTCTGACTGCCAGGTTACAGACCAGCAGGCACTGTGGCCTGGAAGGACATCAGTAGAGATTCCAATGACGCAGCAACAAACACGGTCTCTGCTTCTAAACACATACACACACACAGCCTTGTGATGCACACACACCCCCAACACATCTGCGTCAAAACACACACACTCAGACCAAGAGGAAAAGGCAGTATTTGGTGAAATCCAGACAGTGTGAAATTGATGAATCTCTGCGTTCCACAGTTGCAGTATACTTCTCATAGGAATTATCTTTGGATATAACAATTACCTTTCCCTGTGGTTTTATCAGGGCTGAGGTTCAACATCAGCACGCTGAATAAAAAGGCAACATAAACACCCACCCACCCACCTACCCACCTCATCCCCTTACCCAAAACCAGGCCTGAGAGGAAGGGCGGAATGAGAGAGCAAGGAAGAGAGCAGGAATGTCCAGTAGACTGATTAAAAATGGGTCCATTTGGTTTCATTTCGGAATACTGCCATTCTGGATCCCAGCAGCCAACTAGCACTCTATTACATAATTATCACACACCGGCACACAAACACAAACACACACACACTGCCACTCTGCACCCCAACAGCCGGTGAAGGAGCCATCAGTCATGTGACTGAAAATACCTCTCATCCTCTCTTTCTCTATATTTCATCCTTTCTCTCTCTCCCTCACTCGTTGCCTTGTAAGAAGCCAGCTACCGCTGAAGATTCCCCTAATAAGGGCACAGTAAAAAAAAAAAAAAAAAAAAGTGTAATATTTCCAAGTGACTCTCGCTCCTCATAAAAGGGGAGGAATATGTCAAAGCTGCCAGTGTATCTATCATTTCACTGCATGTCTGACATGCAGTGAAATGATTGCGGAAGTTGGAACAGAAAGGTTGGGGTGAACACAGTCACAGGAGTATGAGCCTAAACTGTCCTTCTCAATGTCATCATGGTAGCTTAGTGGGTAAGAGCGTTGTGCCAGTAACCGAAAGGTCGCTGGTTCTAATCCCCAAGCTGACTAGGTGAAAAATCTGTCGATGTGCCCTTAAGCAAGGCACTTAACCCCAATTGCTCCTGTAAGTCGCTCTGGATAAGAGCGTCTGCTAAATGACTAAAATGTAAATGTAATGTCTGTTACTCAGTTTCATGTAGCAGTGTATTGTAATGTTAACTTATAAATGCAGATTATGCAACGTTTACCCAGCCCACACACACGCAAAACTACAGTAACCAATAAAGTTAATCTATTCTCTCCACCTGAGAAGGAAGTCTATTTTTTGCCATGTCCAAAACATTATACACATTTATTTTATCCACAAAAATATATAAATAAAAAATAACTAAAGGCCTCTGACCTCTACCCTTCACCTCTGACCTTTACCTCTGACCTTGAACCTTGTTCCCTGTGTGTTCCAGTCGATTTGGGGTGATAGAGAAGCTGGAGGCATTGGAGCTTGAGAATGCAGAGAGGATGGAGGTGGAGGAGGCTGGGAGGACTGGAGCCAGACAGGGCCGCAGCGAACACAGACGCTTCCACAGAGAGGTACAACTACAGCACTGTGTGTGTGTGTGTGCGTGCATGCGTTTGGTACAGAGATTGTACCCCCTTTAAACCCATTCAGTTTAACTCGATCTTAGAGAGGTCATAGATTATGAGTACAGGCTTAGCCTTTGCGTGGGCAGCACCTGATTGTCCTAGCAGTGCTAACATTGTCTACTAGTTCAGGGTTTCCCAAACTTGGTCCTGGGGCCCCCACTGGGTGCACATTTTTGTTTTTGCCCTAGCACTACACAGCTGATTCAAATAACCAACTCCTCATCATGCTTTGATTATTTGAATCAGCTGTGTAGTGCTAGGGCAAAAACCAAAACATGCACCCAGGGGGTCCCCAGGACCGAGTTTGGGAAACCCTGTACTAGTTGACAATGGATGTGTTCACACTTTTTTAAAGCCCAGTGTTTTGAAAACAACATCAATGGCTGCTTTGAGACATGAGACAAAATGGCGCCGACAGCCACGGTCGCCCTGTTTCTAGCTCCTTGCCAACTTTGCAGTATTTAGCTTTTATTTTTGTTATTTCTTACATTATTTGCTCAGAATGTTTCTAGTATTATTTCCTACAACTTAAAATAACTTTTGGACATTAGATCGGCGGTCACTCGCCAGAAATTCGACCAGAAATTTGACTTCTCTGACCAGGATCCTTTGTTTGGACTTCCCAAGGCAGCCCCATCCATCCCAGGTGCTAAACCAAAACGTTGACGCCAGAGGAGAGGGAGGAGAGGTGGGGTTCTAGCCAGGCTCAGATGGCGAGCAAAACCATCCACCGCTTCCGAGTATATTACTCGTGAACGTTCAGTCCCTGGACAACAAAGTAGACAAGCTCAGGGCGAGGTTCTCCATTTAGAGAGACATAAGGGACTGTAACATACTCTGTTTTACGGAATGATGGCTCTCTCCGCATATATTGTCCCCGTTCATACTGCCACCGTGGTTCTCCGTACATCGCACGGACAAGAAGAAAGAACTCTCCAGTAAAAACAAAGGTGGCGGGGTATGTCTCATGATTAACAACTCATGGGGTGACATACAGGAACTTAAGTCCTTTTGGCTCTCTCAGATATCCTCAGATCCTCGAAAAATTATACAGCTGCACCATCGATAGCATCCTGACTGGTTGCATCACCGCCTGGTATGGCAACTGCTTGGCCTCCGACCGCAAGGCACTACAGAGGGTAGTGCGTACGGTTCAGTACATCACTGGGGCCAAGCTTCCTGCCATCCAGGACCTCTATACCAGGCGGTGTTAGAGAAAGGCCGTCAAAATTGTCAAAGACTCCAGCCACCCTAGTCATAGACTGTTCTCTTTGCTACCGCACGGCAAGCGGTACCGGAGTGCCAAGTCTATGTCCAAAAGACTTCTCAACAGCTTCTACCCCCAAGCCATAAGACTCCTGAACAGCTAATCATGGCTACCCGGACTATTTGCACTGCCCCCACCCCCCACCCCATCTTTTTACGCTGCTGCTACTCTGTTAATTATTTATGCATAGTCACTTTAACTCTACCCACATGTACATATTACTTCAACTACCTCAACTAGCCGGTGCCCCCGCACATTGACTCTGCACCGGTACCCCCCCTGTATATATAGCCTCCCTACTGTTATTTTATTTTACTTCTGCTCTTTTTTTCTCAACACTTTTTTGTTGTTATTTTATTTTACTTTTTTATTAAAAATAAATGCACTGTTGGTTAAGGGCTGTAAGTAAGCATTTCACTGTAATGTCTGCACCTGTTGTATTCAGTGCATGTGGCCAATAAAATTTGATTTGATCTAAATTCTTATTAGCCAATGCCTGTCACGTGTTCGGGTTCTTCTCACAGGCATCACAGCGCCGAAGTAGGCTACTATTGAAGACCAACACATCGGGGATGGAACGGCGTGCGTCCTTATCAAATTCTGAGGCACATATTGAAGATGTTAGAAGAACTGTCCACATTTACTTTTTGTCAGCCAACAAGATGAGTAACGAACAGCAAAAGCACTAGCCTATGTCAATCTACTATCCCCCATAGTACAAAAGTTGACCTATTCTATTGGTCAGCTTGTCGTTCTGTGCGAGAAAGAAATATTCCAAACAGACTCCTGGTCAGTTGTGGGACGATAGATCCCAAACTAATAAAACCACTGTACATGCATATTTTTTTTTTTAAGTAATGAGGTTAATGCAACAGATCATAAAATGTTGATCAACTATTAAGACTATTTCTTCACGTTACAAGCGCAGCAATGCGCACACAGCAGTAGGCTATAAGTGCGAATGTTCCAAAATGCAATTAGCGGGAAAACACTTCTCCAAAGCGCACCACAAATGCGAGTGGTTTCATGACAGAGATGAAAATATCCTTTAGAAAGTGGGAAGATCTAAAGATGCAACAACTAGCATGGGTTGTTAATATAACTAGGATTGTGTCTTTGGCTGTTGGACAACAAAGGGAAGTTGAAAACATGAGACAAATAATGGTTTCAATGGCATATGAGGAAGTGTTTATAAAATAACCCCCTTAACATTCCTATGGTTGGTAAGACATGCCTAATACATTTTTTTTTTTAAAGGCTAAATTGTGTTTTTTCCATTGGATAAAAGTACAGAATCAGAGCTTCAAAATGGCATATTATACACTGTAGTTGGAGGAAACATGGGGAAGTAATCCTGATTTTAAAAGTTGATACATTTATAATCCCATTTAGGAGAAAAACGCATTCAAACATTTTGCTGTGATTTTCACACTTGCTCTACATTAATCCTTCGGAAACGTATATTTAGAAAAGGAATACATTGACCAAATTTCCAAAATGGATTCTCTGAACATTATGTCACCAACTTACCCCATTAGGCAAACCATTTACAGAATTAAATTGCCCATTTTTGTATAATAAAGAACCTTTCACATTGAACAGCTACAGCACTGTTCTTTGTTTACGCCCATTTGGCATCCTTAAAGAATTCACATTGGAACACATGCAACTGTGGCCATGTGCTAAAGCAGTAAGGTAGTGCTTAAAAAACAAAAGATTTAAACAATAAAATACTTTATTAACTTTAAGTGCTAAAGGTAGTAGCCTACAATTAGGAAAAACGTAGAAGACATAAAAGCTTAGGTAACAACAATATCTAGACCTAGGACTATATCATAAGGTCCTTTGAGCAACTTTGGTTCAGGTCATGTTATGAAATGAACAAAGGAATCTAGCTTGAGAGCATATTTCCATGGCATTTTCATTGCATAAGTCCTGATCTTGGCCACAACAACACCAGGCTCCAGATAATTAAAGCTGTAAACGAGGAAAGTAGACAAGCCGTTAACCTTGCATACTAGTAATAATATTAATTGACCCCCAAGTTCAAGCAATAAACTCACAATTACAAAAACAAAATGCCTGAAGTGTTGCTTATTCACCCTCGATCATCTCCTTGTACTGGTGGAGGAGAGCAGGTTGATGCTGAAAGACAAATTCCCGAAACATAAGTTAAAACATGAATTAATTAATGTCCTGTAGCTTGTTATTGCCTGTTGACTGCTACAGCTGTACTAAAATGGCCTGTACACACTTAACTTGCTTCCAGCCCAACAATGGCAATGCAGAGAAAAGATAACTAGCTAGCTAGATGTAGCAAACATTTAGCTTCAGAATTACCAACTGGCTAGCCAGCTAGTTGAACATGTAAAAAAACGACCTCGAAATCTATAATCCAATAGCTAGCTAGCTATTTAGCTATCATTTCATCGTGGCTAGCTAGCTAGCAAACGTAGCATGTGTCCCTATAACGTAACATGGAGTTGATTAGCTTTCTAATCGATTAGCATTCGCCCCACAGTGGCTATTTTCGGTAGCTAGCTAGTTAAACATGACAAACGGGCAAACATGAAAATGATCATCATCATGTCATGCATGCCTTACCACATCAGCAATCAACATTAACAGCAGAATGCAACTGGCCAGCTCAGCTAGCTGGCTTGCGTTGCTTCATCCCGCCTACAAGCCATCTGTAAACAATGGCTTATTGCGGGACGAAGCAAGCTATAACTGTACCTGTATGCAACTGTCTAGCTAGCTAGCTATATAGCTAACAATAGCTAGAAATGAAAACGACTTTTTGAAACAGTTCAGACAATAGTGCATTCGGAAAGTATTCAGACACCTTCACTTTTTCCACATTGTGTTACGTTACAGCCTTATTCTATATATTTGTTTAACTATCATCAATCTAGCTATACACAATACTGCATAATGACAAAGCAAAAACAGAAATACCTTATTTACATAAGTATTTAGGTCCTTTGTTATGAGACTCGAAATTGAGCTCTGGTGCATCCTGTTTCCATTGATCATCCTTGAGATGTTTGTACAACTTGATTGGAGTCAACCTGTGGTAAATTCAATTGATCTGGGGAAGGGTACCAAAACATTTATGCAGCATTGAAGGTCGCCAAGAACACAGTGGCCATCATTCTTTGATGGAAGAAGTTTGGAACCACCAAGACTCTTCCTAGAGGTGGCCGCCCGGCCAAACTGAGCAATTGGGGGAGAAGGGCCTTGGTCAGGGAGGTGACCAAGAACCCGATGATCACTCTGACAGAGCTCTAGTTCCTCTGTGGAGATGGGAGAACCTTCCAGAAGGACAACCATCTCTGCAGCACTCCACCAATCAGGCCTTTATGGTAGAGTTACCAGGCGGAAGCCACTCCTCAGTAAAAGGCACATGACAGCCCGCTTGGAGTTTGCCAAAAGGCACCTAAAGGACTCTCAGACCATGAGAAACAAGATTCTTTGGTCTGATGAAACCAAGATTGAACTCTTTGGCCTGAATGCCAAGCGTCACGTCTGGAGGAAACCTGGCACTATCCCTACTGTGAAGTATGGTGGTGGCAGCATCACGCTGTGGGGATGTTTTTCAACTGCAGGGACTGGGAGACTAGTCAGGATCAAGGGAAAGATGAACAGAGCAAAGTACAGAGATATCCTTGATGAAAAC